CGCTTGTATGGAGAAGACACACTACACCTCTCTGCTGGGTGATGAGACGCTAACCAGCTTTACTCCTGATAAGATGCTTTACCTGAGGTATTCAATTACATCTCTACAGACTATGTTGGAGGAATATTTAAAGTCTGCTTTGCCCTTGACTCTTGATTCTGCATGTCAAAAACACTTAACTCAAACCCTTGTGGATTACCAATACTGCATTAAGTTCATTGACTTCTGCACCAGACTATCAAGGACCAGATGAACTGATATCATACACAGAGATATTGATGCTGTTTTAAAATTAGACAAAACCAGCTCGGCTTCATACATTTTTTTTAATTTGGGGAGGATGGTGAGGGAGGGAATAAACAGCTCTCTCACACAACCTGCAGTCAAATATTTTATGGAACCCTCCCTTGAAACTACTGTTAAAATTCAGAAATTTAGTGAAATAGATCTTCAAGAAGATGCTCTTTTTTTGAGAATTTCTGGTTTATGAAACCACAGAGCTGTCCACACTAATCTACAGCTCCCCTTGCTGGGTCAGGTGCTGAACTGCATTCAAGCAGTGGCAAGAAATTAATTTCTACAGCCTAATAAATTATTTGATGCATTTAGACTTACAAAAAAAGGTCATACACATCTGCTCTTCTGCACAACAAGCCCCTTGATTGCTCACACTGGTCAGAGGTGGAACTTCCCCAGTGCAAGACAAATTTCAGACCACACTTCCACTCAGTGCTGCAACTGAAGAGATGATAGAGTCAAAAAACAAAAACACCTGCCAGTTTCCTTCAGCCTTTTAAGCTTCTGCAGACTTTCTTGATTATCAAAGAGGATCCTCACTTTTCTTCCTTCTCCCTCCCACCCTGAAAGATGTCAATGAACAGACTGTTATCCTGAACAGCGATGAATGAGGCTGAAAATCTGTTGACAGCTTTACCCAAAAGCATACCCAGTCCTTGCTCCCTTACTAGAAATGAGTATGCCGTAGCACGTTTTGTTCAAGCCACCTGCAAAGTTATCATTTTGAGCTCTTTTAGAAAAGTAGGTATTATTACTGTTTGCCAACTCTATCGGCTTTATTTATTTTAATAATACTTAAGATATGTCAGTAAACCTGACTTTTTTGCCAAGTACATTAAATCTTTCATCAGTTACTCAGATGTATCCACAAACATGCTGTGAAGGTTTTTCTTTCTTGAAATATCTTAATATTTTTCCTAACAAAAAATAAAACATATTCCATTAATCAAACAGCTGATTTCTAAAACAACACTAATTCCTTACATGGTTCAACATATTTCTCATTCCAAACCCAAGATACTGAGAGCTGTTACTTGAGCACCATCCAATTCTGCTTGGATGGAATTCCATCAATAGAAATACTTTTTTCTCAACCTTGATCTTTTCGTTGCAAGTTGCATTTTCAGGTAATTCAGAGAGTCACCTATGCTTTTGTCCTCACAAATTTATCTATGTTAGCTGTCTTGACATACCTGTGATGATATAACAGAGAATGATATGGCTGGGGTATAAATCCTACTGCAAGGGTTGAACACTTGTGCCTCTGTTTTGGCGTAAGCATAAGATAGTGATTTTATCAACAACCACTTCAAGTCTCCTTACACAGTAAAACATGTATTCATGGAAAGAACTTGCAGCTTATTTGTATCAGCATGTTGTTCATCCTTTGCATCAACCAGTACGGATACAAACATACACATGTCCACAATACACGCTGCTATAGATGATCAAAAACAAAAAAACAAAAAATCAAGTGTCTTACCAAGGGAAAAGAAAAACACGGGTAACCATATCTTATAATGACTATTCTAATCTGAATCAAGTGAAAACCTGGAAGCATAATACAACTTTCTGGTTAAAAACTGTGCATACAAACTAAGCATAATCATGATTAGTTGTTTGAAGAAAAAGCATTTCTGTGATGCTTCCTCTTCAGTCACTTTGTGTTCCTGTCATTAAAATAATTGTTACAACTGACTTCAAGAAGGATAGAAAAGCAAAAAGAAAACGAGCATATGTAAGTCATCGAACACCAAATAAAAACATAGATCTATTCTGTATATGCATCTGACACTTTGGACCGTGTATTGACCATTTGTGACCATTTTGCTCAGACTAAATCAATCAATAAGTCACTCACCGAGAACGTAAAATTGTAATTTTTTTACTCTTATAAAATATATAGTTCAGAATAGGATGAGAAGATGATATGGCTATAAACTCACAGTACTGATATAAACAAAGCAGTGTTACCAAACCACACTGCAACTACATCTACTAACTTAAGAATTATTACTGCTTCTAGCAAAAGAAATATCTTTAAAATGTTTTCATATTCCAAGGTAAATTTGACATATTTGTCGATTTTCAAAGGCATCTGGAGTGATTAGATTTAGGGGTCAGCCGCTTTAAGGTCAATGTGAGACCACAGATTTTACTTTCAAATTAAGCAGAAGAAAAATGATAAGCAAAACTTCACCAAAAAAAAAAAAAAAGGGACTGGTTGGTATAAGGACTTGTGAAGTTAGTCTGTCACCTACTGAAACAGATCCCCATCTACCAGACATAATTTTTCTGACAAATAACCTTGATAAGTAAAGGTAAAGCACGTAGACAATTTACTGCTATTAAAAACTTCTTCAAACTTGTGCCAACGCTCATCCTCTTCAAAATAAACCAGGGAGCACTAGGTCTCATGTTACAAAGCATCTACAATTACAGAACACTTTCCAAAACGCTAACAATAAATCTAAAATAAAAATCAATACTATTAATTTGTGAGATGGATGCTAAAAAGATCAAAGCTACCGTCATTCAAAAGTGTTAAGACATAAACACAATGGAAATCATAAATATGCTTTAAAACTCAATCAAAAAATACCAGTTACAATTTTTTCTAATCTAGATTTAAAATCCACTTTGCTTATTTATTCCTATGAAAAAGGATACAACAGTTGAATTCTGAATTATGTTAATGCATATTTTCCCAGCCATAGAAAATGTTGGCTTAAAGCCCAATGAATACAATAGCCACATGTTCGCAATCTTTAATTATCCAATTAATGTAGTGTCATTTTTGCAATTAGTTCAGATGACCATATGTAACTTCTTACAAATAGCTCTTTCTTACTATGACCAGAATGCCAAATGTACCAAAATGTATTTATATTAAAAGCCCAACTTGAACATAAAAGGACTTGCATAATTACCTGTGTCTAACATAGTGCAACTTGCACTATTAGGCTCTCTCCTACAACGGTTTTCGTTTCCTAAGTAAGGCTGATTTTGGTGGTTAGATTTGATCCAAATTGCACGTTTTGTTTTCCCCCACGATGTTAAGACAGCAAAGTCCTGATGAGGACAGAGCACAGCTGTCAAAAACCAGTTTTGGTGGTTTCTCTAGCTAAAAAGTGAAAGCTACGCTCTGGAAGAAATGAAGACAAGGATGTAGGCGACATCACATCTTCCTTTTCTGAAGCAGGATACGCTGGCCGTCGTTGGAGAGAAACTGGCTCACAGGGAGCCAATATGAAAATGAGCTTACCTGGAAAAGTCTGATTCAGCTTGCAAGTGCTTTTATATTTCTTACTCTTCCATAGTAAGAAGTTCTACATATCCTCGCTGATTTAGGATCTGGTCCCAAATACACCTCCTAGGTCCTCTTATCATACAAATAATGTATAAAAATACTAACAGCAAACAGAGAGTGGCAGAAGGGATTCCTGTGAAATGGAATCAGTAACATGGAATGCAATGGAAAGCAAGAGGGGAAAGCAGGAGGTCTGCTCGAAATTAATACAAATTTTTTCTTTATTATCTGGCCAACACTGTATTAGGTACGAAATAAATTCAGGGGAAATATTTTCTTCTTAGGACACTCAAATTATAATCACTACTGTACAGATAACCTTTGAGGAAGGAAAAGGAAAAAGTAGCTGGTACATAAGAAGCCTCAAATTTCTATTGCTTCTGTAGCGATGTTTAGATAAAAGAATACATACAGAACCATACACAGGTCTTCAAGTCTCCTTAAATAGCAGGAAAAAAATAAGCATTTTAATATAAAATTTGTATGAACCTAAACGAAACATTTTCTGTCACTGTAATTTAGGAATATCAAAACTGCTGAATTACAAGACATACTGTTGCAGATAACATTATTTGTAATAAGAACATTATATTTGCATCGTTTGTTCTGTCCTTCATTTTAACTATTTGCCCATATTTTACAGGGCCTGCTTTATACCAGGATTTTTCAGGAAAACAAACGCAGACCAAATATAGTGGCTGGCCTCTGGTCTCAGATACAAAGCAGAGTTTCCGAGATATGTTTCTTATCGGGCACAAATCTGCTCTAATAGTTGGACATGCTATTTAAAAAGACTTGTTAAGGTTCCTTCAGATTATACCCCCACAGACTTAAATACTGGCAGGGCAGAGCTAACTCAAGTCACTTTTAAACAAGATAACGTCCTCCGAAAACAAGGGCAGTTATCACCGACTGCCAAAAAAGGGCTGGTGGTATCCTGAGGGACAGAACCTTTTTGGTGGTAAAATCACTTTTTAGCTTGACTTCTGCTATAGGTTCTCAGATAAAGATGGGCCCTTTAAACTCTGGGCCCATTCAGCATCGGATCCCCACGGCAGAGCTGTGATGGAAACGCGGCCCTCCACGCTGACTCTGCCGGAGCGATGCCCTCAGGAGAACGAAAAGCCACCAGAAAAGCCTGGCTGGCTACGGAGCTGGGCCACAGCAATGAGCTCTTGCATGCTGATATGTCCTGGGACAAGTGAAAAACACCTGGATGCTTGCCTTGATGTTAAAATTCACTATAGCATGGTCTTCTCCGCAGAAGTTTGTTTGAAGAACGAAAGGATAGAAGGAGGTGCACTTGCAAGACTCTTCAAGATTACTCTGATTACTACCTTCCCTTCACACGCACAGTATATTGAAGGCTCTTTAAAAAATTCATACAGTAGAATCATTCTGTGCAACTGTAAGAGGAAAACTGTCAGACAACATTCCCAATTCAATATTACATTGTGCTTCAAGAAAAGATTTCCATATATTCTAGATTAAAAAAAGTCTCATAAATAAATGATAATCCATTGCTTGCACTGAAAAATGAAAAATAATTTTCTGTTTGCATTTTACTCCGCAGAGTAAAATTTAATCTCTCTTTTAATATAGTCTTTGTATATACAGAGAAGTAAAAAGATGTAACCTTATGAAAATTGATTTTTTTTTACATGGTTAAAAATATTTCTATCAGTGTTTATCTAGAAATCTTACTTTTATGAGTGCTGGGATATATCACATATTGATAACTTAAACACATTATTCCAAACAAATTATGATAATGTACTTTTTTTTTTTTTTAAGAGAGGGGAAAAAAACTAGGATTTTAACACTGAGCAGCATAGAGACAGTGATGAAAAAAAGGAAAACTCTGAAGAGGTTATTGCATTTGGGCACAATCCAGCAGAAATGTTTTAGCAATTTTTAAGAATTTATTGTAAAAAAGACTTCTACATATTTTACATACAGCTAAAATAACATAAACATATTACTATTTATGCATGTAAGTATGTGTGCGATAATTAATCTTAAGTGATGCGTTAGCATTGCACAGAACATAAATGCTACAGCACAAACTGCCGCTACCTAAATTCATGGGCAAGTTTAGAAGCATATTAACCTTTGGGGTTTCTTTTTTCTGATACCAAAAAAAAAAAAAAAAAAAACCAAAATACTGATTCTTATTCAACAAGCCGGGCTGGGTTCACAGGCCTGGCGAAGAGCGAGGCCCGGGCGAGGAACCCGTTTCCCCCCACGCCGCCGCCGGCCACCGCTCCCCTCCAGACCATCCCGCTCGCTCTACGCAGTTAAACTGCCACCGGAGCAGGTACTGAAGGCCCAGCAGCCTGCCTCCTTCCCAGGTAAAAACCGCAACCACCAGGCAAAAGGGTCATTCTCACTCACTTTATTTCTCTGTTAGTAGTTATTTGGTTTGAGATGAAACAAGAAGTGCGGCGCTGTTGCTACGCAAAGCTGCAGTACCTGGCAGAGCCGTGCAGACTTCTCCGGTGGGCTGCACGGCCGACGCTGCGAGCCGACAGCTCCTTCTGCATTCGGTTCTGCAGGGAATAACCAAACGGTCCTTGTGACGAGTGGCTGAAAGCGCTTCCCTGCCAGACCAGCAAGCTGGGCACAGGGGCCACCCCACCTAGGGTGCCTGATGCTCAACCCTCTTGCGCAAAAGAAAACAGTGGCACCAGGAAAGGTTGAAACCTCTAAACCTTGTCAACCTGCTGACGAGGGCACCGTACCACGTGGGAGATGTGAACTCCCAGCACTCAGGCTTACGCGAGAGCTGAACTTCCCACGAGTGACCTCTGAGCAGACAATATTCCTCCCTTCTTTAGGGGACTGCTACAGCTACCGCCACTTTTTTTCTCCAGCTTAATTTATTCGACATCCTACCTCTGTCACGTGACGAGTTCTGGGGTCACTGAAAATATGGTGCTTCCCTCCATCCTAGAATAATTGACTATCTTCCTTAAATACCTCCGCTTGCTTAAATTTAAGCCTTGCCTTGGTTACTTCGCCCATGGAGCGCAGGAAAGACTCGCGCTTTGCTGCAACGGTTACACGGGCGCCTGCGCTCGCTGCCCTGCTGGCCAAAACACGTAAAGGCTGAGGAAGCTGCAAAGCCCGAAAACCCTCTAGGTTCTGTAATGAACTGTTCCCAAACCTGAGATCTGGGCCTATAAATGGCTCCCTTTCAGTAAAATACTCGGGTAGGTATGCGTATTTTACAAACTGTGATACCTAAGCAGTTATCTGGCTTGGAACCACGTTCGGAAAGGAGGATACAATCAGCTCCTGACAGCACGAGGTCAACGCACCGGTGTGGCAGCAACGTACTTTTAGCTGAGCTTGCATCTATCTATACGAGCGTTTTCAAAACGGTGAAAATTATTTAAAAATAGCACAGAACAACAACATTTTAAAGGGGGATGCTCACTAATGGAATTACTCTTATTGCGGGAAGTGCTAATTTTCCTGCTCTCTGGAACCTTGACAAAAACGCTGTATTTTGTCCCTAATTGTGATTAATCAGTGTGGCACTGTGAATGGCAGCAATTCCTTTTCAAACATGGCAGTTCTCAAAATCTGGCGGCGTAGAGGCTATGCAAATTACTTCCCAATGGTACTGTGTACTAAAAGAAAGCAACAGAACGGCAAGCGGGGGAAAAAAACCTGCAAGAGAACGAGCATCCTGGCCAACTCGGGCACGGGCAAACCAGGCAGTCGCCTGGGGCAGCAGACAGTCGGGACCCCTGAGACGGCCTCGATTCTGCCACCTGTTTGAAGCTCGGGAAAGCCGAGCACTGCTACCGCTGGCACTGCGTGAGGGTGCAAGGGGCAGAGGGTCTCGGGAGGTGGCAGTGGCCGTACGAGGCGGGGAGCCTTGCAGGGCGGAGGGGCCACCACACACCAGGTGTCACCAACATCTCCTGCACTGCGCAATCTCTAACCCAAATGCAAATTTCTTTGGAAACATCTGAAAGCGACGGCTGCAACGTCTACGCACAGTTAGTTCTTTATAAAACCTGTATCAACACATGCACTGCTGATAAATAAAGTCTGCTGTAAAATAAAAGGCCAAAAAAGAGAAAAATCATTGCTTATATAATGCATATACCAAAGGCAAATATTTCCACTGCTGCTATTAAACACACAATATTTTTGTTTAATCTTACAAATTTCCAAAGCTGCACAAGTTGGAAAAGCTGCAGAGTCACCAGGATATTAATTTTTTAAATAAAATACAAAAGTCTTTATTATCATTAAGATATATAACAATGTTCAGAGGTGAAATATATCTTCAGTTACAGCAAAAGCATCACTTTGCAACCCTTTCTGGTCCTTAGTGAAGCCTGATCTGTCCGAAGATCCCGGTAAGTGTAACGGGCCGTGCATGTTAAGATACGGCACAGCAGTCTCATTGCAATGGTGCGTACTAGACGGCAATATCGGCACGTGATCCAGCCTGCATTACTCATCTGTTTGTATATGCCAGGATTTTTCCTAACCCATAGGAATGACACTTTTCCTATTTATTTCGTTACTAATAGAGTATAACAACAATAACTAGACCTCAAGTGTAAAAGCGCTATTCTTGCTGCCAGGGCTCGTTCAAAACTGGCCCTTAAATTTAAAAAAAAAGAAAGTTTATGACACACTTACTGAATTCAGTACCTGACAGTAATACCATTTACCTGTTAGCTTTCCAGCTCCTGTCCGTGAGAACTGCCCGCCCTCCTCCTGCCACGCACCGTTCCCTACGCACGCCGATAAGGCGGCCCAGCAGACAAGCAGCTCGTTGCCAGACAGAGCTTCAGGTTCAGGAGCCCCGCTCGGGAGCGTGCAATCCTGCCCGCCTGCCTTTTGGGGGGCACTACAAGACGGCAAGCAAACATTTCTTCCTGTTTCGCATTTCTCGTAACACACGGTTTCCAAGCTCCGGCGCGAACGTTGCCAGCGTTACCCAGGAGCGCGTTTCCGGTCGTTGCTTCGGGTGACGATGACTTGCCGTCCAGCCACCCGGCTGCGCACACCAGCGCGCGCTGCAGAAGCCCACGGACCCGTGACGACGGCGCGCAGCTCTCGTAGCGCGCGCCTAAGCGCCGTATGTAAGTAAGACGAAGACTACTGCCGCCTTCAAGCCGCGCAGCACCTCGGCTGCTGTCGGGTGTAACATAGCAACACGGTTTCCATTACACCCAAAGATTAATAAGCCTCATGGAGACCTGGAAAATCTGACAGAAAACAAGGGCAATACGATGTTCATTTCTGTTTCATTAAACACGGGATGAGCTGATGGATCTCTCCGCACTTTGTCACTCCATACTGCTAATGGCTCTTTGACATTATCGTTCACCGTGGGTGAGACTGTGTAACCTCTGCTCGCGCTGGCGAGCGTTTGCAGAAGTAGTCCCGCTGGCAACTGCTTCGGAGAGGTTCCCCGAGGCACACGGTACTTCCCGGCTCCAGTGAGAGTGCCTACATCCGACCACAAAAAGGGCACTCTCGTACTTTATTTATTGTAGTGCAGTTATAAAACACTGTCATACTACTCCTTTGTTTTTTTTTTTTTTACCTGAGCAACTAATAAAAAAAATTCTAAAAATATCACTACAATCTTAAAAAAAAAAAAAAAGCAACAAGCTGGGGAGGGGGAAGCTGCAGTCACGCAGAAGGAATAAAACTTTAGGCAAAGGGAAGCGTGACAGCTAAGGGGTACCGCTAAGTGTTCCTAGCTGACAGTCTGCACATGCAGACCTTCGTGTTTGAACCCAGTCAGTCATGTAGTTTTTGTGACCAACTGTAAGTGAACAGCAAAGATTGAGAATTTCATATAATAGGGATCAATATATAAGTTAGGAAACAATAAGACAACCATCCAATAAATACAATTAATAAACCAGCTTGGGAAAATGACCATCTGCTGGCAGGTATTACACAAATGGGGAAATGGGACAATACATAACATAAATCACTTGTTCAGCTATGGTTTAAGGCTAAAAAACCAAGATTAGTAAGGCCAATCATTCCAGTTCATATCACAAAATAGATTTTAAGAAAGCTTTGGCAAAGTGATGTATAAATTATATGTTCAGAATTATACATTTTATTTCCCCAGGTAATCATGGTGATTACACAAATTGTTTCAGAAATAACACTGGCATCAGTTGGCTTTCCAAACACTTCAACAGACAACTTTACAACAGGAATTGTTGTAAGCAATACAACGCACTATATGACGACTGCGACAGGTATAGTTAAAATGCACTATACAAAATCACACAGAGCCCTAATTTGCAAACAGAATCCAAGGCCAAAGCAGACCCTATAATCACCGTGGCAGATTTAAACGTTAGGCCTTTTGCTACAGGACAGAGGCATCTTTTAAGAAGACAAGATGGGAGCAAAACTTCAAAGGTTTACCTAAGTCAGACGCTTGAAACCTAGACCATCAATGGCAGCACGCCAGGAAATTAAAGTTACGAAATTAAAAATGTGATATACAGTAAAGTCAGTTGACTCTACAAGCTGAAGATGTCTGGGATTGCTCAGATATATATACACTAATTCGACTTTGGGGAGGAACGATGTTAATGGAAATACATAAAAGGATCTAGTTCAAGCTGCATGAGACTGCCAGGACGCAAACACAACGTGTGTGAACAGCCACGTTGGAAGAGTTTGGTGTTACAGAGAGCCGCTCTAGAAGAAAATTGTATCTGCCGAGGAATGCGAGAGAAGGGGGAAGCCTCAGTGCACTATATATCGCAAAATCCTTTATCAACTAGAGAAACAAATAAGCAGAGGCCTGATAAGCAATCAGTCCAAGACGTACAGAATCTCCAGTCCAGTGTTCAGCCATGAGACTAAATTCCCACAACGAAAATTCAGAAAGGTGAAAAATTTTCCTTCCGTGCACATCCTGAGTACAAACAGTGGATGATAAGCAAAGCCGGTGCCAGTCTCAGCTTTAACACTACGTTTAAGGTAACCAGCACACATGTAAAAGATAATCCATTAAAGATTTTTGACCTAGCGCCAAAAATTGTCATGTCTGCACAGCTCGGCACAGTTAGCTCTGAAAACGGAATAGCAAAATAATGAGAAGCAGAAATGCAGAAAGGTTTGGTTAAAAAGTATGATTAGGAATAAATTGATAGAAAGACATGCTTCTGTCCATAAATTAAAAACTGGTTACTTCCCCTGCAAAGAAGCTGAAAGGGAGGATGGCGAATGTAAAAATCTGAGCGTAGCACAAGAGCCTGGATGACACAGCAAGGGGATATCGGTCCTATCGGCATGTAGGCAAAACGCTCCATATATTGTCGGGGAAGGAAACCACCATGCCAGCACACCCCTCTGCCCTCTGCGCGTGTGCCTGAATAAAGCCATTTACAGAAGCGCGCTCACACGTCTGTCTTTGTCTTTAGCCTTTGCAAACAAATTCCCCACGGAATATGAACAAGACTGCTCTTGTACCATAATTTCCCAAAGACAGGGAAAAAATGCTTTACAAGTGTCTTTGTTAGCAATGCTACTTAAAGAA